AGGTGTTTCTTGGCACGAAGGAGACGAAGAACTGGTTGTCCCAGAGAGCCACGCTTCGACGGTACGTGGTGACGTCATTACCACCGAGACAAGCTCGCGTGCCCGAGGAGACGGCGCTCTGTTAAGAGCCCGGCGTGGGGAAGGGCCCCGATGAGTCCCCGAGGCTGACCTGCCTTGATTTCTGCCCACGTGGAGGAAGGCCCGGCCTGCTTGTTGGATTTGAGAGGCGGACCCCTGAACAGCACAGGGGTGAGGGGCACCAAGCCCCTGTGCTCAAAAATCCGTGTGTGACTTTTGACTCCCCCAGAACTTAACTACAGTCACCCCTCGGTACCTGCAAGGGACTGGTTCCAGGACCCCTCCCAGATACCAAGATCTGCAGTGCCCGAGTCCCCGGTGTGGAATGGTGTGGAGCAGGGCACGAAGCTGGCCCTCCGAACCCAAGGGCCCCGAAGCTCCAGACCAAGACGCTGTTCTGGAACTGAAGCGGGGCACAAAACCAGACCCAGGGAAGGCTGACTGCCCGCCTGTTTCTCAGACCCTGCGGGCACGTGCACCCACACAGCTCACACCTGGGCTGGCCCAGGGCCCGCTGTACTGGCCATCTTATCGGCGACTAGCTGCCTCCGAGACTGAAACGTGGCCAAGCAGGGGAACCCCACTGGGCTCTGGCCTGCTCCCCAATCCAGGTCTACAGGAAGCGCTGCCACTGGGGAGGCGTCCGCCTCGGGCCGTCTCAGGAAAACCCCAGGCCGCCGGGCTCCTCGGACCCATTCCCTGCTGCTCGGAGCCGGGCAGGAGGAAGGCAGGAGTAGCGGGCATCCTGCTCCAACTCCGAGAAAAGTGTCACCGCGACATTCATTACCAGGTAACTCTGCCAGCAGACACTGGGCATGGCTCCACCTCCCATTCCTTCGAGCCCCACAAAGGAACACCTCGGCTGAGCCTTGCTCTCACGTATCTCCTGCATCCGTCCACTCCTGGCTCGTGCTGCTGTCGCTAGCTCGTCGGCTCTCCCGAGTGGCTGTGGCAGCCCCCCGCCATCAGTGCCTCCCGATCAGCGCTTCTGTGTCAGCCTCGCACACTCCAAACTCATCCTCAAGGCCGACCATTACTTTAAAACACAAACACGGTCCTTTCCTGTCTCTGCTTGCAAAGCCCGGAGCAAAAGCTGCAAGCTCCTCAGACCGCTGCCGACAGCGCTGTCACCTAAGGGCTGGGAAACGTCCTCCTGAAGGGCCAGAGAGTACACATGACCGGTTCTGCGGGCCTCTGCAGGCCACAGCCCGGCCACCGTAGCCCACGCGTAAACAAACAAACAGGCTGCACTCCAATAAAACTCCACTTAACAAAGGGCGGCAGACGGATGTGGCCTGGGCCTGGTGGTGTGAGAAAGGCGAAGAGGCAAGGGTGCGGGAGGAGAGAGTCAGAGGAGAGTGAGGGGAGGTGGGGTCCTCGAGGAGGCAGGGACCGGGTCATCTGGCTTTAGGTCACTGCAACAACTCTGGATTTCAGCCAGGAACACAAGATAACCCATTCCTAAGAAAATAAAAACAAACGACATTTAACTTTCACAAAAGCAGTGTATGATAAAGAGAACCTCACCTGCATGCCTACCCTGAAGATAAAGTTGCCAAAAGCTCGGTCTCTATTATCTCATATGTAATCAGAACACCTTTGTTCAACAAGGCGTCACGGCAGTTATCCAGTCTAAGCTCTCGGTTTTATGAGTGTGGAACCTGGGGCCCAGGAAGGCCACACGGCCTGCCCACCTGTGGGCTGGCCTTGAGCCACAACACAGGTTTCCTGTGCTTTGCACTGGCCCTGCTGCCCCAGACAGCTTGGCTGCTTCTGGGGGTCTCAGCTCCCCAGGGGCTGCCCTCCCTGGCCTCGGTGACCTTTGTAATTCAGTAAGGAAATGAAGAGCGGCCACCATGCGGCACCTCCAGCCACATCCCCACACCCAAAGCCTGTCACTTACGAACCCCCACAGTCTAGGTTTTCATTCCCCACAGCGGCGAGAACGGCCAGGCAGGTAAGGCGAAGGCAGGTCGGGTAATGTGAGGACTGTTTGCGTTGGGTCCGCCTGCCGGACACCTCCCGCCCCACACCCCCCAAAGCAGCACCCCTCTTCCAAGGTCCTGGCAGGCCAACCACCACAGCAGCCCGCCCACCTACTGGAGGGGACATATGACCTGGGCCATTCAAGAAACCCTCTCCCTCTGGTGCCCCAAGTGAGGGTTCGGGATCCAAGGAGACCCACCTGGAGTCCCTTCCTGGGGTTATACGGATGAGAGCTTGGGAGAGGAGCCCCATCCGGGGTTTCCCAGCTGTGTGAGCCAAGCCACCCCCATTCTGCCCAGGTCACTTTACATTAGGTTACTGTCACCTGCAACCAAAACATTCACACTGGGGCAGGCACCTGCATACCTTTTCTCATTTCATCTGCAGAACAACTTCATACAGTTGTTATTACTCTATTTAAGGTTAAGCATCTTGCCCAAGTTCCTACAGCAGTAAGAGGCATTCCAATTCGGGTCTTTCTGCTCTAAATCCCATTCAGTCTCCAGTTATGAATCCAGTAGTAACTAAGGAGAAGACTCACCGCCATTCCAAAGCCAAAGAACTGACTTCTTGGTTTAGAACTATAGTGAGAATTAAAGGTAGGGGTGGGGGAGGGGCATACAGACAGCATTAAAGCACCTGCCTCCTACTTCTGGCTCTGTCCTGTGACCTCGGGTATCAGGACTCTGGGCAAGTCGTGCCTCCTAGCTGGGCATCAGTTTTCCCACTATAAAATGAGACACCTATACAACAGGAACTTAAGATCTGTACGTGCAGAAAGAGCAAAAGCCAGGGGTCAGCTTTCGGAAGAAGGTTCTATTTTTAGTACATGCCAGGTAAGACATCAAGCGGATTTCAACTTGAATGTCAGGCCCAACACCTGGCGGCGGCTGCCCGGGGCACACTGCTGCAAAGGACGCTGAGCTGCACAGTCTGCTGGGAAATCAGCACTGGCTTGGAGTGAAAGCACAGGAACGCCAAGTGGTTTACAGCTTGGCACCAATGATGAAAACAGTCTAAACTAACCCCATGGGCTTGGGGACAGCAGTGAAGGGAACAGTAATAACCAGAATGTATGTTTATGATCTTATGATACAGTTTCATAAGATCCTAATAATTTGCTTATCAGTGAAGTAGGGTATCATCATGCCCTTTTCATAGAATGGGAAAATGAGACTCAGGTCACAGAACTTGCCCAAGTCGCCCACCCAAGTCATCCACCTCTAAGTGGCAGAACCCAGACCCAAACACAAGTCTCCCAGCTCCAAATCCCACTTCTCTCTCCACTCCCAAGGCCCCCACTGGTCCCACAGTCCAAACAGTGAACTAATCAAGCTCTCACTGCAAAGCGGTAGAGTTATCACTGTTTGGAGTTGTTCAGATATAAGTTCCTTCCCCCACAATTCGAAATATCCTTATTGCCTAATTTGTTTGTAACTTAATGGGCAGACGTGCACTGAGTACATACATTGAGCATGAAAGTGACCAATCTGCACACCTTTGTGCACACTCTTCTCTCAGAGGGGCCTGAGACCCTCCCCTCTCTGCCCCGTCTGCACCGGAACCAAGTACTCCTCCTTCCAGGGTTAGTGCCAGGAACTATCACCTCTATAAAGCCGTTCTGGGCACTCAGGAGCAACCAAACACACTTCCTGTGTGCTCTGCACACCATCTACGAGGCTTTATGGCACTTGTTTTGTTAATGTCTGTTGCCGCCACCAGACCCTTTGAATTGTGTTATTCTAACACAGTGCTGGTCAGAAGCTAGGTGCTTGATCAGTGCTTACTGATAGGTTGACTGGATTCATCTGGCCAATCTCCCTCCCCGGATGGTTGAATAGCCTCTGCAAACTGCCACTCATTAATTCATGTATACATGCATTCATTAAAAAAATATCTGAGCATCTGCAAAGTACCAGGTGTCGGGCTGTGTGCCAAACAGAAGTGGATTTACCAAGAAATTAACGCAGTTGACCTTCAGAGCCCCTCCCTTGAACCTCCCAAGGCTTTGAACCTTCTTTGCGAGTTTGTGTTTTTGTTTCTTAGAGGATAGACAGAACTGTCTAACCTTCAGGCTAGGCAGAAACAACACCAACCCTCAGTGCCAAGGATACAACAGCGAACAAGGCGCACATTATCTCTCCCCGTACAGAGTGTAGTGCAGAAGACAGACACCATTTGTTTATTTTTTCTTTTTTTTTTCCCCATTCAACCACCATATACTAAGCAACGCTGAGCCTCACTCTGGCGATTCTGAGATCAAGCCAAGCCTGTTCCCACCCTCAAGCAGAAGGACCCTGCTCTCCTGAACGAAACCCCGCCGTGCTCAGGGAACAGAAAGGAATTTAGATAACTGTAACACAGAGTGTCTGTGAAAGATAACCCTAAATCAGTCTCAAGACGTACTGATGATCCCTACCGTGCACCCTAATCTACTGCAGGAGGCCCGGGGAAGGGAGAGGTCTGCGGAACACGATCTTTGACCCCATGCGGCGGGGCGGGGGGCACGAGACAATTAAACATTACAGCAAAAACAACGTGGTCGGCGCTGAGATGCAAAGCCATCGGCTGTGGAGACACTTCCCCGGCGTTCAGGTCGGCGGTGACCGCGAACTCATGATCTTACAGAGCAGCCCCTGAACTTTGCGAACAGAGACTTCTGAGCGTCTCTCCAGCCGCACCCCCTCCCTCAAGAGAAATTAGGTTCCTAGAATGCATCTTGCTATACGTCCCCATTCCTCGAAGTGAGGCTGTTCCTTTCCCGAGGCAGCTGTCGGCTATCCGGGGCCACCTCTCCGGTCCCCCCTTTAGACCACTGGTCTCCACTCGCTTCTTCCACACACTGCTTATGGGACAGGCTCTGGTTTGGGGTCTGGGATGTGCGTCGGGGGTCCGCCCCCACCTCCAGCCCTCCGTTTCCATAGCAACCAGCTCACCACTTCTCGAGCCCGGCTGGAGAAGTCGCCCTTGGGCCGGGGGCTCCGGCGGAACAACTCTTCGCGGCTGCCATCAACGCCGCCGCCGCCCACCGCCACTCCCAGCGCTTTGTTCCGAGTCTTCACGGTCTTGACGCTGGCCCGGAACAGCAGCGTGATGTCCACCGCCATGACGACCCGCACCTACAGCCCGGGACCCGGCCGGCGCACGTCAGCAGCCGGCGACCGCTGCGCGAAGCCGGCCGCCGGAGGACCGTTCCGGCTCTGCACGCCTCCGCCCGCCAACGGCGACGCGAGAAGAAAGGTTCCGGCCTCCGCCCGCGCTCGAGACGGGTTCCCACGGCGCCCGGAGCCCCGAGACGCACACACCGGCGCCCCTTTCTCCTACCAGCAAAACCGGCACGGCTCGACCGCAATGGGAGGTCCGGAGTCTGGGGAGTGTGGACCCCGGGAGCGAGAGGATCGGGAAGCCAAAAGGCTCCATCCCATCTGGTGGCTCCCGCACTGACTTAGTCCCGCCGCGCGGGTTGCGGGGACCAAAGGCTACCCGGCCTGACCTCTGACCCCAAGGGCCCGCCTGGTGCTTGGCCGAAGCGCGGGGACGGTGACCTTTTGAGTAAGTTCTAAGGCAGGGCAGGTGTGCATCATGCAGCTAGAAGCATGAAGCCTTTGATTTTTCATCCTTGAACCACCTGAAGCCAGAACCTTCTTCAGAGTGTTACTGTGAGAATTAGTGTTAACACGTGTATTTTGGCGTTGCCTGGCTCCTAGTGATCAATACAAATTAGTTACGGTTGTTAATAATATCACTAGCACTGTTGTATTTACGGTGAAGAGCTGTATAAAGAAGGCATCGCTATTAGAGAAAGGCAGGTTGGAAGGATGACTAAGCATTTATAAGGTGGAAACAAGGGCAGAAGATGTCCCTGGCTTCTGTTCACCCTTGACGTGGAGTTTTTAAATAGAGTCACAGTTCATTAAATTGACTGTTAGCCAATGAGTTCTGACTCCAGTTTGGCGCGAGGTTCAGATTTAATTCATGATCTCATTGATTTCAAGTTTGTTTTCTTTTTTAAAAGAGGTTGAACAACTCTGATATGTATTGAAACAGTGTTGTCAAAGAGTGGTCAGCAAGATGAAGTTGTTTTCATAACACTAAGATGTTATTTGACTTTTCACTCGTTCTCTCCTGCATTGCACACAGCTGAGTTTTCCAGAGGCTGTGTGGCTTGGGATGTTGCAAAAGCAATGAATGCAGAACAGCTGTCTCCTATTAAGCCAGACTTAGCGAGGTTTGCAAAAATGTAAAACATTGTCATTCTCACCAAGGTTTTTAAATTCGTTTTGGAAGTGTATTTTTTCATGAAAAGATGCATTTATGTTAATATGTAAATATGTAATATATTCATTTTTGTTTTTAAATAAATGACTATTTAAATTTTTTGGTTTTTAATATGGTAAATACCAATTGATAAAACCCATATAAATCTGTATACACAAAAGTTAATATTTAGGACCCTCAATAATTTTTAATAGTTTAAAGGAGTTCTGAGACCAAAAATTTGAGACCCATCCTGTTAAATGAGTTTATCAAAGATAGATGTCAAGACAGGACATAGTGCCTAAAAGGAAGAGGGAAAACCCAGACTCGCCACTTCAGCCTTCCTGTGTGAGGAAAATAAGTTTCCACAGTTTTTTTTCTACCTACAGAGTAAGAGAAAAAATGAGAACGAAATTACAAAACCTCGGCCAATGATTCTGTAGTGCATAAATGGACCTTTGTTTTATTGAGACATTAATGAGGCTTTGACTATGCAAAGGTAAGCCTGGGGCAGAGTAGAAGAGAGTTAAGCAACTCTGCATAATGCAGTGAACAGGACTGAATTAAGGGTAAGAGGGAGAAACCAGAACCCAGGGAGGAGGCCCGTCTGTTGGGAAGGGTTTTTGAGGAGGAGAGGGGTCTGAGCCACACCGAATCCTCAGTGTGAGTGGTGTGTTTGGTGCTGTTCCCAGTTTGGGGAGGGAGGGTAAGAGAGTGGGGACAGAGGCCTGAGTCTTCTCTCTGGGTCTGCAAAGGCAGAGAAGACTGTGGAGATGGGACCCAGGTGAGCTCCATAAGGCACAAGTGACCACAGTCCGTAATAGTCCCCGAAAAGCCACTGAGGAGGCCATTAGTCTTCCCACGGACCACAGGACATAAGATTTCGCTTTTATTATTACTATTCTTTTTATTTTATTTTATTCTTTTCACTGTAGACAGCAAGGAACCTTCAGCCGACAGTAGACTAGTAACTATTCGAAACCCCACGAAGCTGAGAGGCCACATGGGTGAAAAGGAAGAACAGGGTGGAGGGATGCTATGAACTGCCCAGTTTGATGTAGCGCATCAACGAGGTCTCCCAAGCAGCAGAGTTTCATTCATTAGGCCAGGCACCCTCCTCTTGAAAAGGAGCAAGGCGTGTTGGAATTCCGAAATACAGCTCCCTACAGCCACGCCCTCCTTACCACCGGGACAGATGCAGGCAGCTCAGGATCACTGGGGGCCTGCACAGAAGTCCTTAAGCGTGGCCTCCGCCAGAAAGCGTGCATATTGCATTGCATATCCGGGTGCCCAACCCACATGCTGTGAGAAACAGGTGCCAGCCACCCAGCTGTTGCCCTTGTCACTGCCTTTGGAAATGTGGGTTGGATTGCCCCACCACGCTGGGAAAGAGGGTATAGCAGGCATTTGCCGCTTGGAGCATGTCCAGTGCCCGAAAGTACCGATTCCTATGGGGTGGCACGGGAGACCAGCATCTCCTGGGCCCACGGAGCCAGGAACTTGCCACGGTAACATAGTAATGGAGACTGCAGTGGTCTCTTTCGTTGTTTGCTTGTAACCAGGGCCTCTCCCTAGGAAAGGATTAGAGTTCCCTGACCTATTGATGACCAGCTACGCCAGGTGATTCTTTTTAGCCATAAAAAGTGACATGTGTTGCAAATTTAAGAAATAAGGTGTGCTTCTCCGCTCCCTTTGCCCTCTGCCACGAACACCCATAAGATTCCAGTGTTTCATCAGCCCGGCCCCGAGTAGAGGCAACACGGAACACAGCCGGCCGAGGACGTGTGCCGGCAGTGAGAAGTAAGACTCTGTTCTTGCTGTCCGGGGGGGTTTGAGGGTGGTTGGTACTGCATCCTAACACACCTATCTTCATTCATGAAACCCGTATCCAGATAGCTGCCCAAACAAGACCATTGGATGCCTTCATCACTTACCGTCATTACCGGGTGGGACTCGCAGGCCTGGGCCTCAGGCAGAGACAGAGGCCCGGGCTGCTGCGTCCCCAGCGTCTGCCGACGTGCGCGCTCCAGGAACCAACCACACAGGTGTGGACACCAGCAAGCAAAGGCTTCCGAAGGGAGCGGGGAGCTGTCGTTCTGTTAACCTTCACCCGTATCCGACCTACAGCTTCTGGACACTGGGAGGCCCAGACCAGCCTCAGCTGTGTCACCCACTCATGTTCTCCGCTCTGGACAGTGGGGGCTCTGGGTGTTTTAATGCCTGTGGAATCGTTGTAGAATGCAAAAGGGCGACATCGTGCAAAGAGACTTCTGAGCTCTGTCTCGTTTAAAAAAATAATAATGAATGAGGAACAGGAAAAGCAAACAAACAAACAAAAAATACTTGAGATTTGGAAACGGAAAGACTGGAGTTTGAATTCCGGCTTCCCTACTCACTCACTGGGTGACTTGAGGCGAGTTACTTCACCTCTCTGGGCCCTGTCTGAAAAAAGTATGAAATGCAGGAACACCTATGACCTGCTCCTGATTCTATGAGGAGGAGTTTCCGCCTAAATGCCTCTTCCCCCTCCCCCCGGAGCCAGCATCAGTCATCTGGTGGTTGGGGACAGCCACCAATCTGCATCTCTCGGCTGGAGTACGTGTCTGAGCTGAAGACATTGGCTCTTTTGTGATGTCAGTGGGAGGAAGTGACTGGGTGAGGGGTCTGTTGTGCACGCTTGTACTTCACCCTGGAGGAGAGCTAGAAACCAGAGTGCTACCTGACCCCTCTCCATCTCTGTCTCTCCCTCAATACAGTTGTCTCTGCAAACCGGCTCCCTCTGCTCCTCAGTTCCTGTGGCCGGTCACAGGCCACCATCAGCCCCTGAGTTGGTGTGGCACGTTTCTAGTCACTGCTCTATCAGTCCCAAGCCCCAGTTCAGGGCACGCAGGGGAAAATCGGTCCAGCTATCTGTGGCTCAGCATCCAGAGACATATGGTTCCAACATGGCTGTCAGGACACTCCGCTGGCTGGGGGCTCAGGAGCTACATCCGTTTCCTGTGGCAAATGTGCACAAACTTAAAACCAAGCAAGTTTGCTATCTTACCGTTCTAGGAGCCGCAGTTCCAAACTGGGTCTGGCGGGGCTGCAACTGAGGTGTGGGTAGGGCCATGTTGCTTCCTGAAAACTCTAGGGGAGGATCCACTTCTTTGTCTTTTTTCTCCAGCTTCTAGAAGCTGCCCACATGTCTTGGCTTCTGGCCCCTTCCTCCGTCTTCAAAGCCAGCCACAGCGGCTGAGTCCTTACCGCCTGTCACTCTGACAACAACTCCTTTCTCTTCCACACGTAAGGACCCTCGTGATGACCTGGGGTGCGCGCAGGTCGTCCGGGGTAACCTCCCCAACTGAAGGCCAGCTGACCGACAACCTGAATTCCATCCGCTGCCCCAGTCGGCCCTTGCCAAGTCACATAACATAGTCACACAGCCCGAGCCTTCGGATTTGGACTCTATTCTGCCGACTGCAGCCGGGGGAGCTCCAACAGAAAGGTGGGGTGGTTATGAGCTGGGCAGACACCCTTGCAGGTCTTCCCGGGTGAAGAGAGGGACCCACCCAGGATTTCCCACTTCTCAAACAACGTGTCTGGGCCAGCTCCTTATAACACTCCAAAGGGCTGCAGAAACAAGGAAGATGGAAGTCGAGCCCAGAAAGGATCTCCTCTCCCAGGAGGCGGTCACGTGCCCGAACGAAAGGGCGCTCTCCTCCGACATCTAGCCCGCTCTGCCTCCCTTGAAGAGGAACTGTCCCCCGGTGCCTGACCCATCTGAAAAGAACACGACGCACAGCAATGTCATTAACAGTTTCCAGAGTTCAAGTCCTCTCGCTCCCTTCACCCCCACCCCCACCCCAGGTTTGGAAGTTGATGCCACTTCTTCCCAGCACTCACTTGGTCCACCCCAGGAGTTTCATAAATCACCTCATAAAAACTCCTTTACTGGTTTC